AACACGGTGAGGTGTTGCCCGAGCATATAAGCAGCAGAATAGCAAACATTAACTCACCATTTGGTCACCATTTGGTCCGGGAGACATCTTCCGTCACGCAGGGTGCAGTTGCGCCTCCACAGATCTCCAGTATCATCTTTTGATACTGGTAATGGCTCGAAAGGGCCACCACTTACGGGCTATTCATACCCGTGCCACCTCTTGGGTGGCTTAATCTTCATCAATCAATCAAACATTAACTAGTCTACTTTCAAGTGTGGTCTAGAGCAGACACTTGCGAGATACTGTACCGACGCTCAGTGCGCTCAACTCACACCAAAGTATCACCGGTGTACTTCTGTATATATTCGACCAAATATATATATAGTATCTTAGTGTCTGTTTATTTGTCACCATACTTTACGTAACAATAGAACCGTTACACCTGCACTGTAGCCTCTAGTGCACTGTACTGCAGAGTCGTATAATATATTGTACTATACTGTACTGAACGGTACAGTACTGTATTGTAGGGTAATTTACTATAGTGTTCTCTAATGAACTGCACTGTATTGTACACTTTACTTGACGGTACTGTATCAACCTTACCTAGTTTGCCCTAGCCTAGTCCAGTGTAGCCTAGCTTGCCTAGTTTAGCTTAACATAGCATAATATAGCGTCATTCTCTAAAAAACGACTGACGAGAGTTCAAATGATCAAAGTGTAACGCACAAGATGTTTATTATTCAAAATGACCGATTGACTTTGCAAAAATGTGTAAAAGACATTTTTTTTTATTTTATTTTTTACATGCAAGCATGCGTAAAATTTACAATAAAAACAGAACAAATATAACATAGAACAAAAGCACACATATGTACAAGGACAAAGGAACAAATCAATAGAAGACCAGCCAGAAGGGCTGACTACAAAAAAAAATGCATATACAAACATAACACAAATATAAATACAGCGTAAGACAAACATAAGGGAAAACCCCAGGACAAAATGCACACAAAACAAGTCTGCTAACACCTCAAACTCATACAGAGAGGCGAGAAACATACAAGAATAAGGACAATAACAATAAAGAAAACAGATCCGCCATAACAAACGGAAGGAAAAACAAAGTGGCAAGACATAACAAAGAGCACACGCCAACAGCCTGAAGGGCACACAATATGCCAAACAAGCGCACACGACATCCACAACCGAACACACAAACGCATAGGAACCGCACACCCCCCCCCCCCCCCCACTAGCCACACAAGAAAATCCAGAATACAAACCGGAGCACGCAGGAACCGGGAAACAATACCCACCCCACCCACGCACATACACACCCCACAACCAGGCAACACAAAATACATAGAAATCACTTGCGAGGAACAACGTGAGAAATGTACTTCTCCGGGAACTGCTCACGAGGATACTTCGCCTTGTAAGCTTCCCAGACTAGATCTTCAAGGTCGGTAGGGTTTTTGATCCCCCGCACTCGAGCGGGGGATCATAAACTCGGGAACATCTATATCTGGCGGCATCGGCCAATGCCTAAGGTCACTGACGCAAGTCGCATAACGAGGCTGGGGAGCGCCAACCACGCCCTTCGAGGAAGCAGATGACACCGGAGAAGCGGACGAGGGTCGCCGAGCCTGCCACGCCTTCGCCATCGGAGCAGGGGCCGGACGCTGAGACGATAGCACTTCCACGGATACCGCAGGAGACACGGAAGGGACTCCAGGAAACGGAAGAGGCGGCAAGACCGCTGCCGAGGAAACGGGTAACGAGGAAGGGGCCACAGAACATCCAGAGCGAGCATCCTTTCTCAACATCACCACCAGGCCACCCCGCTCACCATCAACTACAGCAGGGGGAACCACCGCCCATGAAGAACCGGAGCCATCCGACGCAGGCAACGCACCTGAAGCAGGACCCACGGACACCGGACCAGAGGTTGAGGCCGAAACGCCGGCACCGGCATCCTCAGGCAAGTGTACCTCCGCCACCACCGTAGTGTGCACCACATCCGGAGCCACTCCACCGTCAACGGAAGGACGACACTCGTCGAAGTCGCCAACTTCAGCCCACGCAGAAGAACGCCGGGAACGCTTAGGCTCGGGCTGCACATCATCAGACCCGGAGGCAGACTCGGCGACCCGCGCAGCTCCAACCGACGCACGCCGCAGCACGGCAGCCTCCTCAACCCCACGGGGCACCAGGCCAGGCACAGGAGGGAATGCCGGATCCACCTCAGCTCCCAGCACAGCCGGGACAGACGGCGAGGGCGCAGGGACCGGGACAGACACAGCAGAGGAAGAACTGGAAGACGAGGGGTCCGAGCAAACGGCAGGCGGAAGAGGCTCAGGGACACCAGCTGGAGCACTAGGCGAGGACCCAACCTCCGGAGGAGATGCGGCAACAACAGGCGGAGCAACAGCTGCTACAGAGGGCACCTCCTCAGCCGAAGAGACGTCCACACCCACCGAATCATCCCCCACAGGAAGGGGCGGAAAATCCTCCTCGCTGAAGAGATTCACTGGTGCAACAGGAGGCGCAGAACAGTCAGCAGCCTGATGGCCCAAAAGACCACAACGATAACACGTCCGCGGCTGACGGGCGTAAAACACCCGAACGTTGTACCCCAGAAGGCGCACAGAGGACGGAATATCCGGCCGGAGTCTCATGCCCAGGGTGCGAATGTTAGACCTCACACCCTTAAGAGGACTAGAAGACACCACGTTCACTCTCACACTAACAACTGCGCCAAACCGCCCGAAATACCGCCGTAGCAGAGCCTCTGGAAACTCCAAGGGAGCCCCATGCACACTGATGTAAGTAAGTGCACCACTTCTATCCGAGAGGGTGACAGTGCCCGCACCATCCGGCAGGGGCAGTGTCCGCCCCTGGTATCGCCGGAGAAAATCGCGATACGCCACCTCCTCTGCGAACTTCACAATTGCCCTACGGGCCGTTACCAACTCGACCCCATAAATCGCAAACACAGGGACAGAGAGCATTTCACAAGCCAGGGCAATCTCCGGGTAACCAGCCCGCACAGAGAACTCTAGTCCCACAGACTGAGCCCGGACGACAGGGGGTAGAGGGACCCCCATCGTAACGCCACGTCAGCACAGGCGAGCAGACACACACCCGCCCCCAACCGGCCGAAACGGGCAAACAACACCAACTGCTGGAGCGCCGATTCAACACGTCTGCCCCGTACCGAAGCTAGGGCCAGACTCTCATAAAAGACTATTTGATTGCATGTTAAATCTAATCGTTTTTACTAGTTGCAGTGTGCATGTATGGCTTAAATCACGTATATAAATATACATTGGTGTTGTTTAGAGAGGAAAATGAACGGTTGTAAAGGTAATATTGCACTAACAATGGTCGTTAGTGAAACTAGCGTCAGTTCTGGCCGAAACGCTGTGCGTACTAGTGGCTTTACAAGATTGTAAATACTATGCTATGTATTCTCTGAAACCCAATGTAATTTCTTGTATATAAATAAATAAATAAATCAGTTGCTATACACCGCCATTGCAGCAATCTCCTCCCTCCCCATGTCACGTGAAATTTGTGCCTATTACGCGTTGTTACATTCAAGAAACAGTTATTTAATTAAAGAAAATTATAATGGTGATGCCGTTGCTACATTTGAAAGGCAAATAACGAACTATGAGTGTACGGTAGTGTACTGTTGTGGCCTATACTGTACTGCATTGTACTGTACTGCACTGTACTGTTTTGTACTGAAGTGTAACGTACTGTATTATATTATACTGTACTGGATCATACTGTAGTATTCTGTACCATACTGTACTCTACGGTACTGTACTTTTCTGTATTATACAGTACTGTAGTGGACTGCACTGTACGGTACTGTACTATACTATGCAATAATGTAGTGTAATGTACTGCACTATAAAATAGTGTACGGGAGTGTTCAGTAGAGTACAATACTATAGCATAGTCTACTGTATTTTAGTGTACTCTACTATACTGTACCGTGTAGTGTACTGTACTGTAATGTACTTGACGTTAGTGGAGTATATTGTATTGTACTGCATCGTAATGTACTGAACTGTACCCTGTACTGTACTCTGTACAATACTGTATTGTACTGTACCCTGTACTCAACTGTAGTGTACATTATTATACTGTACGGTACTGTAGTGTTTCGTAATGAAATGTATTGCATTGGACTGTAGTGTAGTGTATCCTGTACAGTACTATAGCGTACTATACTCTAGTATATTGTACTGTAGAGTACTTGACTACAGTGTATTATATTTTACTGTAGTGTAGCCTGTACCGTACATTAATATACTGTACTGTACTGTACCGTTGACTGTACTGTATGGTATGGTACTGTACAATACTGTACTGTACCGTGTACTGTACTGTATTGTACGGTACTGTACCTTGTAGTGTAGTGTACTGTTATGTAGGGTACTGTACTGTACTCCACTTTACTGTAGTGTACTGTACTATACGGTACTGTACTGTTCTCTATTGTACTGCAGAGCACTATGCCCTTGGCTGTTGTGTATCGTACGGTACTGTAGTGTAATGTATAGTAGTGTACTGTATTGTAATGTATAGTAGTGTACTGTTTTGTATCGTACGGAACTATACTGTACAGTAGTGTAATGTATAGTACTGTAATGTATCGTAGATAAGTGTACTGTACTATACTGTAGTGTGTTTTAGTGTAGTTACAGGTTGAATAATTAATCAGATTATATACTAATTATAATAATACTTATTTAATAGTAATTAAGCGAAAGTCATCATTTGTGAGTGTAAAGTAAAATATTGTTTCTCATACATTTTGTATATGTATGTTTCTCATACATTTGGTATACATTTTGGTGTATATATTGAAGTGTCAATAAATAATGTGCATGAATTACTGGAGTATCCAATTAGGAGGAGCCGACCAATGACAGTACAGCTTGCGAGAATGTGACGTCAACTGGGAAATCGAAACGTGATTGGTTGTTGAGTCGACCTGCTCGGCAAGGAGCCACGGAACGTTATTTTGACCCTAGTATTCGCGAAGTACGGGTGTACAAGTTAGTGTCAGGGCGTGTTGTTACTCTGAGCTGGTACCCCGTTACCCTTTTGGGGTGGCTAGGGCTGACAGCCCCCCCTAGCTTACACTCGCTTTGTACACCGTCAAAACGCGAATACATAGGGTCAAAAATAAATAAAATCTGGCGTATACCTCTTGAGTATACGCAGATATTTTAGTGCTGATCCATAATCAGTACTGAAATAGAAAAAAATGTTAATTACATACTGAATGAGAATGTTTTTTCAGGGCTATTGTTAGTGACTGAGGTAATCGGTGGGAAGATGATGCCTCGCATGAAATTTGCCGAGTGGTGAGGTATGAATCGTGGAGACTAACGTTGATGGGACCAGTTGTGGAGCGATGAATTACGTCCGACCTGTGGCAGCCGAGCAGAAGCTGGTGGCAGATGTTTTTGTTGAGCAAGATGTGCTACTGATAGCTGGATCATATCTGGTAAGGCAAGTAGTTATTAGGTAGTTTAAGTTCGGCATGGTAATAATTGAATACGATACCCTACTTAAATAGTTAATATTGGTTATTTGAAGTTTAAAAGATTAAAGTGGACGAGCACATACTAAATTATGTATTAAGATTGCAGTTGTTAATAGTATGTGGTGATAGGGCGGGGCAACCCACAGATAATGTCTCAAACCAGTTGAGTATCGAGTTGGGATATATGCGTTTAAGAGTTGCATTTTAAATGAGGTACATCAGAGAAAATAGTTTACCGAAGGGAAGTAGACGTGTCAAAGGTATGGTATAGGGATGATTGAATGATTTATATTGGTAGCAACCAGTAACTGTTGCCTTGTTGCAGGTAATACCGGATAGATTGGCCGGATCCCTGGGCAGTGGAAGAGGACAGAGATGCGTCAACTTCACTGTTCGTGAGTTCCACCTGAGCAGCCGTAGGGTGAAGACGTGTCGTCTGGAGTGTCCGGCAGTTTGGGGAGGTTGCAGTTTTTTCGCCGGCAGGGGGTGTGGGGGTCTCTTACCCTCCCTGTCCAGTGTTGTTGCCTGCCTGGCTGCGTGCTGACGTGGCCGTTTTGACATGGGGGGGCCTGGCTATTCCTCCTGTGTTGCGGGTAAATTCCGTGGGACTGGAATTCACGTGTAAGGCTGGTTATCCGGCCGTTGAGTTAGTTATGTGTGACATGCTTCGTGTCCCGGTGGAAGCTGTGTATGGCGTTGAGCTTGTTACGGCCCACCGGGTGATTGTCAAGTTCGTGGGGGAAGAGGAGTATCGGGACTTCCTCCGGCGGAACGAGGGGCGTTCATTGCAGTTGCCGGATGGCGCCGGCTCCGTTACGATCTCGGACCGAAGTGGTGCCCTGACATATGTCAGTGTGCACGGTGCGCCCCTGGAGTTCCCTGAAAACCTTCTCCGGCGCTTCTTCGGGAGGTATGGTGTAGTCATCAGTGTGCGGGTGAACAAGCTGTCCTCGGGGAAGTATGCTGGGAAGCAGACGAACGTCCGTACATTAGGTATGCGCCTGCGGTCGGATATCCCATCTTCTGTCCGGCTGCTGGGCTACTACGTTCGGGTGTACTATGCCCGGCAGCCCCGTACTTGTTTCCGGTGTGGCCAGTTGGGGCATCAGGCTGCCGGGTGCTCTGAGACACCTGCTGCGCCCGTTAACTTATTCCGGGAGGAGGATTTCCCGCCGCTCCCTCAGGGCGTGGATTCCGGAGATGAAGTGGAGCAGGTCCCAGTCGCTGCTGATGCGGCCCCTCCTGCGTCACCCGACGTGCCCCCGGTGCTTGTTGCCCCTCAGCCGAGTGCGTCTGCGTCTTCCTCGACTCCTGCTGCTGTGCCTGGTCCTGCACCCTCGCCAGGTGTTCCGGCTGTGTTGGGTGTTGGGGGTGCTGCGGAGCATCCTGTTGTGTGCGGCCCGGTTCCCCATGTGGTTGAGGCTGCTGAAGTACTGCGACGGGCGTTGGTTCGCCCGGTTCGTGAGGGCCGTGGTTCTGGGTCCGCCTCCGGCTGTGAGGATGTGCGGCCAGTGCCCAAGCGTTCTAGGCGCTCTTCTACTGCTTGGGCTGATATGAAGGACTACGACGCGGGTGGAGCCTCGGGAGATGGTGTGGCGATTCCGGGTGTCTCGTGCTCTACGACGCTGGTGGTGGCTGATGTCCATGTGTCTGCTGTTGACGATGATTGTGCGTCTAATTTACCTCCTGTTCTTTCTCCTGCAGAAGGTTCTCCGCAGTGGGAGGTGGTTGCTCCTACGGGCGTGGATGGTGTGGATCCTGGTGCGAGCCGAGGCATCAAGCTGGTGCTGAAAAAGGATGCCAAGCGTGGGGGGTCCCAGCAGGTGCAACGTTCAGTGGTTGCCGAGGGGCCCTGTGAGGCAGCTGAGGAGGCTCCCAGTGTGCTGCCCATTGCCCGGCCTCTTGGGAAGGAGCCTCTCCCTCTCATCTTGGCCTCCGGAGTGGCGATGGATGCTGACCATCCGTTGAATTTTGAAATTGTTGACCGTGTGCGTCCTGCTCCGTGGTGCCCTTCTACCATCTGGATTCGTCGGGCTAAGTGTTTTATTGTAGGTGTGCCAGAGTTAATGCCCGATCCTCGTACGCTCAATAGTGACCATGTTTCGGAGGACATTATGTTACTTTGGGAAGCGTACTGTATTCGCTTCCCGGCGGAAGAGTGGCAGGACAAGTATGAGATCTTTTTGTAGTCTGTGTGCTTGCTGTGTGTTTTGTTTTCTTGTGTTTTTGGCCCTTCAGGCCGGTGTTTAGTGACTTGTGTTCCTGCCTGATTTTTTATTGTAATTGGCCTCGCCTTTTGTTACGGGGCGTTAATGTATTAATTTTCTGTTGCTTTACCTGTTGCCTCTTGTTGTATGTTTTCTTTTTTGGAGGTGTTGTTTTGTACTGTGATTGCTGGATTGCCATTGTATTCTGTTTTGTGCTTTGATGTATGCTGTATTTTTCATGTTTTTCTTGTGTATGTGTTTTGTTGTGCTATGCTGTCGGCCCTTCTGCCCGGTGGTCTATTGTTTTCCTTTATGTATTCTTATTGTATTTAATTTGCATGCTCTGCATGTAAAAAAAAAAAAAAAAAAAAAAACTTCACTGTTCGTGAAGACTTTGCAGTAAGTGTCTGAATCGTGTTTGGTCTAATTGTCGTAGATAGGTGGGTGGGGCTAGGTTGTAAGTTCGGCCACGTTACTAGAGACTAAAGGAGTGTTAATTTTGTCTGGTTTGAATATCGTATTAGGGGCCGAGAGTAGTTATATAAGTTTGTCAACGATGATGTTAAATTGGTTAAGGTGTAAATATTTAGCGAGTGTCGCATGTTGCAGGTAGAAGTGGGTACAATAACAAAGTAGGAATTAATAGGACTCGTAAACGGTTAATTGAATAGACAGGATGAGTAGGCAATATAAGATGGCATATAAAGACTTGGAAAACCTCATAACGTTGTTCCATTAATTGTTGAACCGTACCTTACATAGGTGTAAAGCAAGTAGTTAATAATGTTGCCACTAAGGCAAGTTTACCGGGAGTAACCCCCTCCCCGCTCAGCTCGTTGTCGCCGTGTGGGGGCTTCGTGGGCGGCTGCTGGAGTGTGATACTCCTTCGGACAGTCCTCTGTCCTTTTCTAGCCTTGTGCTCCTGCTGCCGTCCTCTCCAATTCTGCTGGGCACCTTTTCCTTTTCCTTCTGTTTCGTTTTTCTCCCCCCTCTTCTCCTATCTGCTGGCCGTTTCCTGCCGACCTTTTGCTCGTTCTGGTTCTTCCATTGGACTTCTTCTATTTTGACGCCCGGGTGCTTGAGGAGGCATACTCATGCACCCGTAGAACTGCAGTACCCGACGTCGAGAGCGAGGGGAACCTTTTATTGTCAATCCCCACTTCGTCACTGAACCCGATCTCGACGGACTGTCGGTTTCTTAAGGTGGCGTTTGTGGGGCGTATACTCACGACGCACCCCTAGGAGGCCCCGACAAGATCGGCGATAGCTTCTTGTTGGGTGTCCTGCCTCTAATTGTGGCTCCATGGTGGGTGTGGGGGCACATTCGTGAGTGAATTCGTAATTTCGTCAAGATGATAACCCCTGTTTCGGCTGCTTCTGGCTTACCTTTTCAGGCTCGTGGGGTGGGCGACCAAGCCCCCGAGTCGGTCCGTATTGGAAGACCGGGCTCTGTAGCCTCCGCTGCATTGGGCCCCGACCTTGCTCCTCCTTTGGCCTCTCTGACTCCTTCCCCTGGCTCCCCTCCCTCCTCTGTGGTTGGGTCGAGCCCCAAGCCCCCAGTGGTGACTACCTCGTCCCCTGGCGCGGCTCCTTCTCTAGTTGTAACTACTGCGCCTTTTAACCCCTCTCTCTCTGGGGGTTCTCACCGCCGTTCTCGTCACGGCCGCCCTCGCTCGATTCCTTCCAGTTCTGCTACCTATCAAGCCTTGTTTGGTCCCGCTTCGTGGGCCAAATATTTTGATCTCCTCCCTCTTGATTCTGCGCCTCCTGACGATTTCTCCCTTCATCGACATCTCATTGATTCCGTGGATGCCTCCATTACTTTTAACCCCACTCGTCTCGGTACGCGTGTCGTTGCTGCTCCTTCTCAGGATGCTGCTTCCCGCTTGGCTGCCTTATCCTGCCTTGGCGAGACCCCCGTTCGGGTCTCGAAGAACGCTCAGTTGAATGCCAGTGTTGGCACTATTTTGCTCCCGCCCCATGTTGCGACCGGTGTTCGGGACCTGCGCGACTGCCACGACGATATTCGACATATCCTCGCTGCCCAGGGCCATTCTATTCTCCAGGTGGACACGTTTACTCGTCCCCCTCGTGGTAGTCGCCGTCAACCCCTCCGGGTTGTGAAGATTACCTTTGATGGTAGGACCCTTCCACCCTCTGTCATTCTTGCTGGTGCCAGGTGCTCTGTCCAGGAGTACATTCCTTCTCCTCGGCTCTGCAACAAGTGCTGGAGGTTTGGGCATGGTGCCCTCCGCTGCTCCGGGACTGTCTCTCTCTGTCCTTTGTGTGGTGGCGAAGGTCACTCTAAGTCGGAGTGCACTTCTCCCCAGGCTCGTTGCCTCAACTGCGGTGAGGCCCATCCTACCTTCTCCCGTGCGTGTGTCCATTACAAGCTTGAGGCAGCCGTCCTCAACTTGAAGCACCGGGAGCGTTTATCTTTTCCTGAGGCGAGGCGCCAGGTTCGCCGGCTCCCGCCTTATGCTAATATCTCTTATGCTCGCGTGTTGCGCTCTTCCTCTCCTCGTCCTTCCCGCCTTCCTCAGACTCACAACCGTTTCCGGGCCTTGGACCCTGATGCGCCCACTGCCCCCTCCTCTGTTCCTTTGGGTTCTCTCCCGAAGGATCCTCCTCCTGGTCCTCTGTCTGGGGTTCCCCTTCCTTCTACCCGGTCTGTCGTGTCTTCTGTGTCTTCTTCCTCGTCCCCCTCCGATCCTCCTTCCCATCCTCTTCCTCCATCTATCGGCTCTCCCCGCCGCCTGTCGGTGCGGGCGGATGTCCATCGCTCTCCTAACGGCCGTCGTGTGTGCTCTCGTTCGGCTTCTCCTGTTGAGACACTGGAATCCGTTGCCCGGTACGTAGTTGCTGGGACACCGGTCTCTTTAAGTCAGAAGCGTAAGCCTGGCTCCTCTCCTTCCTCTTCCCCGGCGGGTAAGAAGGCTTCGCTTTCTTCCTCAGCTCCTCCTTCTGGCTCTGTTGCTCCTTCCCCTCCCGTTTCAGTGCTTGCGCCCCCTGTTCCTGCTATGGAGGTTTCTTTGGCCCCTGCTTCCCTTTCGGTTGCTGCTCTTGCTGGGGTGCGCTCCCCTCTTTCTACTCCCCCTCCTCCTGCTGCTGTCCTTGACTGCTCCTCTCCGTTGTCTCCTCCTCTTCCTCCTCCTCCTCCGGACCCTGCCCGCCCACCTCTGCTCTGTTCTCCCGTTTCCTTCCCTCCGTCTTTGCTCAGTTTACCCATGCCCCCTAACCCTGACTTTGCTGACCCTGATCCCGACCCTGATATTCTTTAACGTGCTCTGTTGCTCTTTCGCCTTTGTTTCTTCCTTGTTCTCTGTTTTTGTCCTTTCTCTTCTCGTCGTTGTCCATTCTT